GAATGTTCACCACAACATCAGATATCAGGTCCAGAGTCTGTTTTTGTTGCGGAACAGGAAAACACTGACAAATAAAATCTTTAAAATATTTCAAAGATGACTAAAAAAAAACCAAAACAACTCAAGAACATGTTTCAAGTCAAATAAACTGTACATTTAACAAGAAAAATAAAAGGCCAAGTTATGAGAACAGTTATCACAGTAACAGTTATTAAAGTGAGCTGCACAATCAAACAATGAGGAGCAGTTATCTGATGGATGCAAGTTTCAATAATTAAAGTAGCTCAGAATTATCGTTTACTCACGTGTGCGATGTACTTGTCGACGTAGCGCTCCAGCTCCCATTGGTCCATCTCGTAGGAGTACTCGTGGTGCTGAGGTGTGGTGGAGGACGGCCCGGCTGAGGCATTGTGGGAGTCGTAGTCCAGACTGGGGCTGACTGTTCTGCTCTGGTTCTCGGCTGAAACACAAACCAACCGGCATCAGCGGCGCACAACGTTTTCCCTGCAGCCTCCGTTTAGAACAGCTTAGAACCCAGATCCAGGAGCCCGAGGCCTCTGGGGCCATTATAAAAACACACAGCGCGATTTTGATTGTTTGTGTTTGGAGTAAAAAGGTAAAATTTAAAAGATCATTTTACCAGATATTATGTGCGACTTAATAAAAAGATGACACATGCAAACATTTTCTGTCAACTGACAGCAAATATCTGTCAAAGGCAGTGAAGCAGCGTCATTTTACACTCACAGATTGTGAAATAGTACATTTATATTTGTAAAAAGAAAATACAGATTTCTGACAGTTTGGGCCTGTTTTTTTCATTTATAGTCAATGTGTAAATAAATACTTCTTGCTGTAATTTCACGACATAATATCTGTAAATTGAAAAAGAAAATAAAAACATTTAGGTGTTTTTTTTTTCTTTTCATTTTTTAGAGTCAACATGTAAATTAATGCTACTTTCTAGACACCTGTAACTACAAAACAACAACAGGTAAAACTGGAAAATAACATTTTAAAAAATCTACCATTTAAAAAAAAAAATTCTTAATAAACAATTTTTCTTTTAAATAACAGCAAATGGCATTAATGCAATAAAAATAAACATTCTATAGTCAAACCCTGTAAAAAAAACAAATCAGTTATTTTTATCAGTTTTATTGTTTATTCACGGTTAACATATAAAACTATCTGTCAAATAACAGTAAAATCGTCACAAGATTACCCTTTAAAACTTTTTTTATTTTTTTTTTTACACTACCTGTGTTGTTGTGGCCGGACTCGTGGTGCTGAGGTGTGACGGAGGACGGCCCAGGTGAGGCATTGTGGGAGTCGTGGTCCAGACTGGGGCCGACTGTTCTGCTCTGGTTCTCGGCTGAAACACAAACCAACCAGCATCAGCAGCGTACGACGTTTTCCCTGCAGTTTAGAAAGCAGGTTTGTTTTTTACAGTACCTGTGTTGTTCTGGCCGGACTCGGGCAGCGTCAGCTGCTCATCACACAGCAAACAGAAAACTGCGTCTTCACCTTCATCATATTCATCTTGCTCCTCGTTAATCTGTGGCAAATAAT